AACTGGTTAAAAAAAAAAAAAAAGTAATCACTCTAAAGGAAAGAGACTACATAGGCTGAGAAGAAACATTGTTTGTTTTCATGGCCTTGGCCTCCTCCCGTTGGAAACTGTTAGGTTTTGTTAGAAATATTCTAATCTGATTAACTGTTTCCTTGGAAACTATAGTTTAAAACGTCTGAGGGGGACCAATGTTTTCTTACCTCAAAAGCGGCCTTTAGGTTATAGATTTTCAGTTGGTTATTAAAAAACTAAAGATTCAGAAAGAATCTTCGATCCTCCCTCCTACCTGCCTAAAGAAATTCAGATAGATAAATCTGCTTAAAGGTAGGGAGCATCCCCTTAGCATCATAATATAAACTAAATGCAACAAACGGAAAAATCTAGCAATAGACATCCTTCTATGTCCCGTTATTTCTGGATGACCCAGCAAGAATTTATTAATCACATTTGCTCTTTCTACCTGTGAATTGCCTACTTTCCCTTGGCAATCCCAGACCCCCGCTTCCCTTTCTCCTTAGTTCCAAATGTTTATAATATAAACTTCAATGGCCCAATGCCTCCTCCAGTCTTATATTCTTATGGCACCCTCTCATGTGTGTCCATAATAAATTTTAGACATTTTTCTCCAGTTAATCTGTCTCATGTTAATTCAATTATTAGCCCAGCCAGAAGAATTTAGGAAGGTGGTAGGAAAATTATTTTTGGAACTGCATACCTCTTCCAGAAGAATTTAGGAAGATGGTAGGAAAATTATTTTTGGAACTGCATACCTCTTATCTTGAAGCTGTAGGCTGGAAACTGAGGCTGCTTCCCTGTGCTCAGATCTCTCCGGGAGGAGTGAGATGGTCCCCTCTCACTGATATTTCAAATAGCAAAGTTTCTCATAAACTATAACAGCATTTTCTAATGGAAATGTAATGTGAGCCACACATGAAATTGAAATTTTACTAATAGCCACAGTAAAATTGACAAGAAAAAAAAAAATTGAAGATGCCCTAAATTAAATTATAATGGGCCATAGAGTTGGGAAGAGACAAAAGAGGTTAATCATCTAACAACCGCAGGGCAAAGCCAACGGAAGACTGCTTACATTCCTGAACATTAACAATAACTTGGCGTTTTTTTCCCTCTGTAGCGTCTCTGAAGTTGATCTACTAGGAGGGAGCCAGTGATTTTACTTTGTCAGCATCTTGGTAGGAAGCAGAACTGGAATTAATTATTTCATTTAATCCTCCCAACACTCGTAAGAAGTAGATAAGGAAATAGAGATTGAAAGTGCAGAAAACTTGCCCAATGTAAAGTGGCAATTTTAAATCACATCAATTTGACTCCAAAGGCTATGCTACTCTCTCATTCTCAAATAAACCTTGAAACAAGTCTTGTGTCCAACCAGGAGGATGAAAAAACCTAGGTTTGAGTCCTGGCTCTGCTATTTAATTAGCTGTGGGCTCTTATACAAGTCATTAATCTGCAAAGTCGTTTTCATCACTAAAAATTCTGATTCCTCACTTGCACTCTCCCTGCTTGTTTCAACAATTCCCATGATGCTTTAATTCATTGCAGTATGGTTTCTGTTGATGGTGGCAGAAACCATCACTCCGCTGAAATTGTTCTCACCAAGACTGCCAATCTCATTCTTATTGCTAAATGAATTGAACATTCAAAGCTATATCCTTCCCATATGTTATGCACTTTGTTTTGTATTTCTTTATGGGGCAGGGAAAATACAAGACGTGCCGGAGCATCTAAGGTACTGCAGTTTTAACTATGAAAATCACCTGAGGGTTTGCAGAGGTAACTATGCACAAACAGCCATTTATGCAGGTTTTAAGTGTATGTGACGCTAAACAATAAGTTAAAAACAAACAAACAAACAAATAAACAACCAAACAAGAGTGGAGATACCACACACAAATTAATTAAAAGTGGATTACAGACCTAAACGTAAGTGCTAAGACTACAAAGTTTCTGGAAGAAAACATAACAGAGTAACTTCATGACCTGTGGTAGGCAAATATTTGTTAGAAAGGAAATAAGGCACTAAAGATAAAATTTTAAAGAATGATAAATTAGACTTTATCAAACTGAAAATCCTCTATTCACCATTGAAGCTATGAGGGAAATGAAAAGGCAACTAAGAGTCAGGTTTTCCACTGCTGGAGTGGGAGGTTACAGATAAGCAAGGGGAGGAGGCTAGAATAATCCATGTGGTAATGGATTACGGTTGGGTATATGAGCATAAATTTACGATTAGCCTAATATAGATGGTTACTATAGAAATATTTATAGGTATGTATATACATATGTTAGTAAAGACAGGTATATTTCTTCACTCTGTCAACTGTGAGACTCCTCAGTAGCAAGGAGCACACCTAGTGCCGAGATCTTGTTTCTCATAACATTCTCCAATGAAAGGAACCAGGACTTCTTAGAAAAATGATTGGTTTTAGCAGTAGGGCAGGGAAAATACAAGATAGGCCTGGAGTTATCTTGTCGGGCCAGAAAATAAGGAACTATGTGCTAAAACAAATAAACAAAAACAAATAAACAAAACCCCCACAATGATGGGGATATTTAAAAGTGACAGAGGAACAAACTAAAAGAGCTACCAATGGTAACAAGATAAAGTAGTATTAGAGTATAACTCAACAGTCCTGATGTGACTGACTAAATTAATAATGGGACAAATGGGAAAAGACAAGTCTCCCATGCAGAATAATTCCAAATGGTTTTTGTTCAGAGTTTGTCCTCAATTATATGGAACACAATTCCCCACTCTTTAAGTGTGGGCCGACCATAGTTACTTCCTCCCAAAGAGGACAGTTTACAGTAAGGAGGGAAAATAGTAATTATACAGTGGAAGAAATGACAAACATTACCTCAAACAAGTGATCAAGGCTAGAAATTAACAGTGATAAATAATATTGATATTATATATTCTTGATGTGATATGATGGGAATGGCACTTCACCTTTAAGGTCTTCCTCTCCAAAACCCGTAACTCCAGTCTAATCATGGGAAAAACATTAGACAAAAACAAAACAACATTCTACAAAATACTTAACCAGTACCCCTCTAAACTGTCAAGGTTACCAAAAACAAGGAAAGGTCTGACAAACTGTCACAGGGGCCTAAGACAACATAATGACTAAATGTAATGTAGTATTTGGGAACAGAAAAACATTAGTGGGTAAAAACTAAGGAACTCTAAATAAAGTATGGACTTTAATTAATAATATCAATATAATTTCATTATTTGTAACAAATGTACCATGCCAATATAAAAGGGGAAAATGGATGTGGAGCATATGGAAACTCTACTATCTTTGCAATTTTTCCATGAATCTAAAACTATCCTAAAATTAAAAGCTTATTATGAACCCACAGACTGGGAGAATATATTCAAAATACATAAACCTGGCAAAGGACTTGTGCCCAGAAAAGGTAGAACCCTTACAAATGAATGTTAAAAAGACAACCAAATTTAAAAAGATTGTCTCCAATTTAAAAAACATAGGCAAAAGACTTGAATGGACATTTCATAAAACAAGATATAAAAATAGCTAATGAGCACATGAAAAGATGCTGTCATCGGTGATTGGGGAAGTACGATATTAAAACCAGATACCATTTCACACCTACTAGAGGAGTTAAAATGAGAGTGATAACTCTAAATGTTGGCAAGCATGTGAAACACCCTAACTCCTGCAGGTAGCTAATGGGAGTGAAAAATGGTACAACCACTATGAAAAACTGCTTGGCAACTTCTTACTAAGCACACCCAGAAATGATCCAGAAATTCCACACCTAAATTTACCCAAGAGAAATAAAACATGCCCGCAAAAAGACTTGTATGAGAATGTCTATAGCAACTTTATTGATAACACGATAAAAATTGGAATATCCAAACGTCCATCAACAGGTGAATGGATAAAGAAAGTATTCAATGGAATACTTTTTAGCAATAAAAATAAGCACTGATTCAGGCAACAATAGGGACGGGCCTTGAAAACAATAAGCTGAGAGAGAGAAAACAGACACTACAGAGTACTTAACAAAAAAATTAAAATCATTTCTTCAATTAAAAAAAATTAATCAATTAATTTTTTAAAAAGAGTACTAACCACCTTTATCTTGAAGGTGATAGAAATCAAAGGAATGATTGCCTAAAGGGTGGGAAATTGCAAAGAGGCTTAAGGAAACTCTTGAGTGTCAGAAATACTCTATATCCTGATTAGGTGGTAGTTACATTCACCAAAAAAATTAAAATCATTTCTTCGATTAAAAAAAATTAATCAATTAATTTTTTAAAAAGAGTACTAACCACCTTTATCTTGAAGGTGATAGAAATCAAAGGAATGATTGCCTAAAGGGTGGGAAATTGCAAAGAGGCTTAAGGAAACTCTTGAGTGTCAGAAATACTCTATATCCTGATTAGGTGGTAGTTACATTCGGCAAAACTCATCAAATCGTACATTAAAAAACTATGCTTTTCGTTGTATTTAAATTTTACCTCAATTAAAAAAATGGGCTAGGAAAAAAAATGACTGGCGGCGTTGAAAAGTAACCCTAAACGATCTAAAAAGAAATTCGGTGTGAGAAGCCCTTTTTTAAAAACATTAAATGAAGAAAACATTCCAATAAGCTCTGCTGGATTTGTGTAACAAAATAAGGACATTAAAAAGCCCTGCACTCTTTGAGTTCCTTCTCCGTCTGAGTGCCTTCGTCCTTCCTCGGATACCCACGGGACGCTGGGAGCCGGGAGACGGATTCACGCACACAGCGACCCACCAGGCAGTCGCTCCGCCTCTCGCCGAGCCCCGAGAGTCCCCACTGTTCCGCCCTACATCAAACTCACGTCGCTGACCCGCCCACTGATTCCGCTCACACCCATCTGAACCGTCCATTTACCTTTCAATCAATTCAAATGTCGCAAGGCGCAAACCAATCTTCAGCCTCGTCATAGGGAAGAGGCGGGCACATTTCCCGGAAGTGTTTGTTAAAATCCCTCCAATCAGAGGCTCAGTGCGGGAAGTTTGAATCTTGCAAAGGCTCAGTTTGTTGGTGTTCCTGCTTCGGAGATAGCTGTGGTCTTCCAGACCGGGAGAGTTCCTTTATTTTTGGTTTGGTTGCGGTTTCACGCTAAAAGCTACCTCAGGTAGGTGGGTGCTGGAGAGCTGGAGGGAGGGTGCTGGCCCGCTTCCTTCTAGAAGGATCTTGAGGACCGACAGCTGCGAGCTGGATGCCGCTTTGTGGGGGAGGCTCCTCTAGGACCGAGTTAACTGCCCTTCCCGAAGCTGATGACACAGTCCCCAAGAAGGTTAAATATTTGTTGCCTGATCTATGTAGCAATCAGCGTTTCACCACTGGGGCGTAACTGGCCTTTGGAGCGGGTCAGTACTTAGCATCTTTGGCCCAGAGGTTAAATTTCAGTAGCTCCTCCCAGATCCTGTGACAACTAAAAACGCCCGGGTTGAGAACCTCTAGGCAAGCAAGACTAAGGCATTCTAGACTTTCAAGCCGGAAGGAACTCCGGTCAGCCAAAAAAGGGAATTTAGATTAAGTGAAGAGCCAGGCTGCCTGGTTTGGGGTCCCAGCTGCACCACCTTTTAGTTGTGCCAACGTGGGCGGTTAAATTTACCTCATTTGTATAGCAGTGATAATACTTAACTGCATTTTGGGGTTTAGGTGATAATTAAATATGTCTTTAGTATTAGGTCTCTTTCTGTCTTTCTGCTGTGTATAGTGCTATGTTACACTTTAAAGTAATACATAAATTTTACTTTTTCTTTAATATTTAGCAAATTAATACATGTGGGAGGTGGCAAATCAAATAGAGGAGAGTTCTTGATGAAAGGCATAGTCCTTCGTCACTTCCCCTGGGCTCTTAAAAGAAAATGTTACTAGCATTCAGGTCAGAGGAATTCTCATTTTTTATACTCTATCGATTGCTTAAAATCATGTAACATTTTAATTGTTTCATTTCTTTTGCACATTTTTCTTTTATTTGGAGTTTTCTACTGGACTTTCTTAGTTATTCTTGTTGAAGAGTAGTGTGCTTATAATTTTTTAAATTTCCTAATGCAGACCCTCCCCCTTTTCTTTTTTTCTTCTTTTTTTGTTTTGTTTCTTTTAAACTGGCAAGAAATAATTCTCTCTGGAAAACCAGTCCTTTTTCTCTAGCTTGGCTTGGTGGTTCTCTGTAACAGCTGCATAGGTATAGAAAACATAGGTAAAGAGAAATTAGACTTTCTACTTTATTCTTTTTGTCAGTTGGATCCATGGTTTCTTGAAATCCATGACATCCTTTCTTGTCCTTCTCCCTTGTGTTGCTTTAATACATTCTCAAGGATCTTTCTATGAAAAAGGTATATATCAAGTAAACTATATGGTTTCTTACATGGCCAAAAATAATTTTATTCCACCCTCACAAGGGCAAACAATTATGATTATCCTTCTATATCACTATGGTAATTCTTCTGAAAACTCTTCTTTTTCTTAATCTTGTATATCCAACTGCCTATTTATCATTCCTCCTTGTCTAATAATAGGCATCTTGTGTGGTTTTTGTTTGTTTTGATTTTTGGCTGGAGAAAAAATGTCTGGCCACTGCATTCTTCACCAGGAGAATGTTAAGAAACTACTCTGTATACTATCTTCTACTTATTTTCCCTATTTTCACCTTTACTTCACATTATTTTGTAATGTTCTCTGTAGTAACCCTAGAGCCTTTTGTTTATATTATGGATTATTGCTTCCTTGCTTCACTTCATCTGTCAAGCAAGGGCCTATTTAGAGTTTCAAAATAGGTTGCAATGTCTTATTTTTTTTTTATAACCTCCTTCCCACTCCTTAGTGTTACATATTTATTCCATTTTGTATTTCAGTATTTTTATTTCAGAAGGTTCTGAGGTTGGATCTGTAGGCGAACTGGAATCTTAATTGTTTGAGTAATGAAATGAAAATTCATTTACGTTGGTCTGTCTCTCTTTTCCCTGACAGGATGTCTTCATCACATTTTGCCAGTCGACACAGAAAGGATTTAAGCACTGACATGATTAGAACTAAAATTGCTCATAGGAAATCACTGTCTCAGAAAGAAAACAGACATAAAGAATATGAACGAAATAGACACTTTGGTTTGAAAGACGTCAACATTCCAACCTTGGAAGGTAGACTTCTTCTTGAATTAGACGAGACGTCTCAAGAGCTTGTTCCAGAAAAGGGCAATGTCAAGCCAAGTAAGGAAATATTTATTGTAATTGTGCTTTAAAGAGTAAACAAAAGTTGGTTTAATAACTGAGGTTAAAAAAACCCTGACCAGAAGAGTGGAAATTTATAATACCATTTGAGTAACTTGATGTTTTCTACTGTCTTTTTAAGGTAAAGGCTAAAACTATTTTAGCTAGGCTAGAGCCATTCATCTGTGGAATATTAGAACACTTTATTTTGTACATTGTCTTATAGGAATTCTAAAATTCTTCTGGAGCTTAGGTAAGATAAGTGTTGACAAGATAAACTGATAAGGGACATAAAAATAGAACTGATCGAAGAATCTATGAAATAGGGATACTTTGCTAGTAGAAACATTTCTTAGAGAGAAAGGTAAAGAATTTTTCCTTGCAGTTTTCCTAAAAGGGTTTGGGGTTGTTGGGAATAAAAAAAAACAACTGAAGAAGAAAAACGATCTCAGCAAAAGATTACAATAATAAAAATAGAGTGTCTTAGAAGGCAAGGGATGCTATAGAGGAGAAAGAAGAGAACTGGAAAGTGACTTTTGCATTTAACTAGGAGTCACTAGACTCCTATTTAGTTGTGCTTATAAAGAAGGCACTAGGAGCTAGATTGCAGTGAAATAAAGCAAGGATAAATGATGAAGAAATGGCAGAAAGAGGTAAAGTCTTAGATGTTTTATAGAAAAAAATGAGATGTAAAGTTGTTTAAATGTTCACTGCTTCAATTTTATCATTTTCCAGGACTAGTGTAATATATGGTGTGTACAAGACAGTCAACGTAATTGAGCTTAATTGATTCTATAAAAGAGGGGGTTGGACTAAAATATTTCTTTCAGATTTATTATTTGATAATAAAGAAACTCAGAGGATAGAACTGTGATTCTAAAGGAAAGAGAGAAAAGAATTGGACAAAAGTGTTGTAGGGTTATTATTATTATTTTTTTCTGAGATGAGGTGATCAGTGCATGTTTAAAGGTCAAAGGAAATGGTTAATTGTAAATAGGAGTTGGGAGGAAATAAAACTGAGCCATAAAATGATATAGGATGATCTTTAAAGAAGAGCTCGACATTTTTTGTCTGAGAAGAGCTGATGTTACTGTTTCCCAAGTCGGCTCCTTGCCTCTACTCTTGCCCTCTCTGTTCCTTGACCCAGATCTCTCAACTGAAAGTCTGTCCCTGTCAATATGCTATTAAAACAGGCTTTGTTTATTTGCAAAGGTCTAGAGGTGGGAGTGGGCCTGGTATGTTCCAGAGAAAGCAAGTAGGCGAACATGGCTATAGAAGAAGGAGCAAGTGGGGCTAGCTCCTGTAGAGCCCGAAGGGCCATCATTATAAAGACATTGGCTATTACTCTGAGTAAAATGAGAAACCATTAATGTATTACAGGAAGTTTATGTAATTTGATTTATATTTTCAAAATGTCACTTTGGTTGTTCTGTTGAGAATAGATTGTAGGATGACAAACATGGCCTCGGGCAGACCAGTTAGGGGACTACTGCAATAATTTAGTTGGTGGCTGATGATTGATCGGAGTGGTAGCAACAAAAAATAGGCGGTTGCATTCTGGATATATTTTGAAGTCTGACCTAATGGGATTTCCTAATGGAGTGGATTTAGGGTTGATGAAGAAAGAGGAGTCAGGATGATTCCAAGGTTTTTGGCCTGAGCAACTAAAAATATGGAGTGGCCATTTACTAAATTGTAAAAGACTGGGGGTTGGGGAGTAAGACTAAAAGTTCGATTAACATCTCAATGTTAAATTTGAGATGCCTATGTAAGAAGAGATGATGAAAAGATAGTTAGACATACAAGATGAATTCAAGGGAGAAGTCTGAACTGGAGATATGAATTCAGGAGTTGTCAACTTTTACACTGTTTTGTAGCTATAAAACTGGATGTGATTATCTAGAGATTTGGTGTGGAAAAAGGAGAGAAGACGTGTGAGCATTCCAATATTTAGAGGGTGAGGGCATGAGGGGAAACTAGCAAAGAACGGAGGAGCAATGCAGATAAAGAGTTTAACCAGAAAATGGTATCTTAGAAACCAAGTGAAGCAAGCATATCAAAGATGAAGTCCAGATTAATTATGTCAGTGCTTCTTGTTAGGTCAGGTAATATTAGAAATGAGAATTTGAACTTCACTGTGGAGGTCACTGGTGATCTTGATAAGTGGATTTGGTGGGGTGAAGTTCAGGGAATGAAAGCCAGATTAGCATGAGTTCAAGAATGGCAGCACCACCTAGGATACATGCTTGCCCCTGAAGTTGAACATGAGTCTAATCAAACTCTTAGATATAACTTCCAGTTTATAGAAAACATGAGGGCTGGAGGAATGAGCCAAAAACAGGAGAAAAGCAAATAGATAAATGTCGAGTGCAGGACATTGTGTAGGACAACTGACTAGCTTTTGTTGACAAGATAATGACATGAAAAGAAGGATGAGGAGGAAGATTTGTTTTAGATGAAGAGACTTAAAAGATATCCAAATACAATATGCAGAGCTTGCTTGGTTCTTGATTTGAACAAACAAACGGTTAAAAAAAACACCACAAAAACCTATTTGAAACAGGAAATCTAAACCTAGTGCCTTGTAATGGGTGATAACATGGAATTACTGCTTTTGTTAGGTATAATAATGGTATTGTGGTTATGAAAGAAAATGTCTTTATTTTTAAAGGTGCATTCTGAAATACTTATGGATGAAGTTTTGTGAGTAGAATTTGTTTTCAAATACTTCAGACAAAAGCAAGTACAGCAAAATGTTCATAATTATATAATCTGGGTGATAGGTATATGGGGTTCATTATATCCTACTTGTGTGTATATTTGAAATTTTTCATAATTCTGAAAAAAAAAGTGAGGAAGGATGGAAGTAAAAGAATTATGAATAGGGATAGAGATAACTCTCTTGAAGAATTTTGCCTTAAACTCAAATAGACCAATGAGGCAAGTAGCTCGATGAGGATGTGGGTTGGGAGGCATTACTGCGTGTTTGTAATTTCACGATGGCAAAAACCCAGTATAGAGAGAAAAATAGATGAGTGATAATAAAATAATCACTAGTTTAATCAAATAGTTAAACTGCTAGAAGAATGTCCTTGAGTAGGTGAGAAAGAATAGCATCTAGAGCTAGGTGGAGGGCTTGGCCTTAGGTGGGGGCTCATCTAGAAGGGAAGGTAAAGTGTGTGGGCTCAGATGCCAGGATGGGAACTTCGAACGTAGATGGGAGAGGATCTGTTTAAGGCTTGAGGAGAGGATAATGTATGAAAGAAATAGTAATTCAGGAGAATGAGAGCTTAATGAAAAAATGAGAAATATAGGGTCCAACTGAGGTTTATAGTCATAAATAGAAAGAGATGAGGTAGCATGCTTCAGTATATTTTTCCAACCCCAGTCAGTTATGCATTGTAGGTGGGAGGTAAGCAGAAAGTGGCATCTAATCAGAGATGGAATTTTGCCAAGGTACAGGACAGTGAGGGACTTAAAAAAAGTGATTATGATGATGAATCATGCAATCTAAATTGGATAAGAAGAAACTTGAGAACACAAGGAAGGTAAGAGACAGTAAAAAGATGTGCAGATCAATAGAGTGTAGGTCTATTTGGCAGTACCAAAGGGTCGTCGGAAAGATGGTAATCAGCGAATTGCTTGAAATTGGGCTTATGGAGGAAGTACAGTAATTCATTGATATAATGAGGTCTCAAGTGCCTAGCTGTCTCAGATGAATACAGGTATGACAAGATATTGGTCCTTTCAGCCCTTGAAGTTTCTGACAGGGCCTGGGTTGATTAGAGCTCTCTTTTTGGCTGGTTTCATTTGTTCACAAACAGCTTCTGTTTACTCCAGTGTGCCTTGTAAATGTTATTTTTTATGTATGCCACAATATGAAAAGGTTGAAATACTGGTATGGTTGTGACCATGGAAATGGGTAGCTGAGGTATAGTAGAAGCAAGATCCTTAGAGGAAAGAAAGCCTGAGAATTGAGGGGCCAGGGGATTGGAGGGGTCATCAAGATTGGTACAAGAATAGTGTTGGAGACAGTGACAATGACCTAGGAGCTATAGCCTTCAGGGAACAAGGGAGAAACCTGGAGGGTCTATAGACGACAAATTGGGATGCTTGATAGTATGATCTGATGACATGAAATGTAAAACTGGGATCTTTCAGTGAAGAGGAAGAAATGTTGGGAAGCAGTGATAAGGACGCCACCCCTCCTTTAGGCTCAGTGATATTACCAGTGTGGAAGAAAATAGATAGTCAAATAGTCAACTACTTGAGAGGAAAACTAGGTAAACAGTGTCTTCAGGGGAGAGCCAGGTTTCAGTTACATCAGGAGATGAAGGGAACAATCAGAGAAGTTGGGGACATAGGGGTATTATTGATGATTGACTACTTTGTCTTCTGAGCTTTTCTGTATTCTGTTCTCTGCCTGGATTATCTTTTTTTAAACAACTTTATCAAGCTATAGTTCACATACCATAAAATGCATCCCTTTAAGTATATGGGGTTTTTTAGTAAATTTACTGAGTTGTACAGCTATATATTTGGATCATTTTTAACCCTTACCTAGTGGGCAAACATATACCCTTCTCAGGTCTTCTCTCTTCTGAAAAATTTTTCCTGATCTCCCCAGATTTGTACTGATTCTTTGGTGTGCGCGTTCTCCTACTTTTTTATTCCCTGCTAAACCAAACTGAATTGTGTTCATCTCCCCTCAATACTGGGAGCCCTTCAAGGGCAGAAATTCTCTTACTTATTCTTACTGCGTAAGATTGTCTGGCACATAGTAGCCACTCAAATTTTTCAAACTAGTTTACATAAACATGAGAATATGTAGGTAGAAACATATGATGAGAGTCATAGGTTACCCCCAAACTTAGTGGCTTAAAACAACAAAAACAACCATCTATTATTTCACACAATTTTTGTGGGTCAGGAATTTAGGTGTGGCTCAGCCAGGTGGTTCTAGAGGTTGTAGTCAAGATGTCATCCAGGAATGCATCCGAGGGCTTGAGTGAGCCTGGAGGATTGGCTTCTAAGATAGCTCACGTGACTGGCAGGTTGTTTCTGGCTTTGGGCAGAAGGCCTTAGTTCTTTGTCATGTAGACACATCCCTAGGGCTGCCTCAGTGTCCTTAAGACTTCTCTCAGAGCAAGTGATCCAAGAGAGCAATGCCTTTAATGACCTAGTCTTGGAAGTCACACTCCATCATTTCCACAGTACTTTCTTGGTTACACAGGTCAGTCCCATTCAGCGAGGAAGGGGACAACACAACGGCGTGACTACCAGGGGGTGAGAATCACTGGAGATCAGCTTAGAGGCTGGTTCTCATAGAATTTAATTTAAAAATGTAATAATACATGTTTAGTATGTAGTAAGCAGTTAAATATTTGAACAAGTGAAGGCAAAAGGAATAGAAATTTTAAAAGAATGGAGATTGAAATAACTTGTGGTTAGTGTGCTTAGGAATGAACAAGAAGTTTCTAAAAGCATCTCTTAGTAGCAGTTGAAGTTAGATAAAATGATTTTTTAGATGTTTGCATAACTTTTTATCTGAAATGTTTTATATACTGAGTTGGTGTGGTTTTTTTTTTCTGCTTAGGGTCAGTGAAAACTCTTCTAGGTGATCAACGGAAACAAATGCTCCAGAAATACAAAGAAGAAAAGCAACTTCAAAAATTGAAAGAGCAGAGAGAGAAAGCTAAACGAGGAGTATTTAAAGTGGGTCTTTATAGACCCGATATGCCTTGTTTTCTTTTATCAAGCCAGAATGCTATGAAAGCTGAGCCAAAAAAGGTAAACTTAGTATCTTAACTTGACATAGAGGAATAGTTTCTTTTAACCAGAGTTTTCTTTAAGAAAGTGCACTTGATTTTAGCCAAAAGGCTGGGAAGGAATTCCTTAAGAGATTAAATGGCTAAAATAACTTGTTCCCCTTAGTCCCTCTATTCATTTAACTAATTGGTGGGAGGTGGGAATAACATTAATAGTAGTTCAGAAAATGAAAATCAGGTCTCTCAATGTAGCTATATATAGATAGGATAAAACTAGGAAGGTGAGTAGAGCCCGACTGAACAATGGATGCCATGTTGAAGGATTTGGTGTTTATCCTGTGGGATACAGAGAGTCAAGAGAGGCTTTTAAATGAGGTTGTACCATTATCAAGTTAACAATGCAGAAAGATAACCCTAGCTTTGAAGATGGTAGTCTGGAAAGGGAAGCATTTATGGAAGAACAGTTGTAAGACTATGTGAAGGAGTAAGTCAGGGTAAGTGGACTGGGCGGTAAGTTTGAAAGGCAGACATAGATGTAAGACACCTTTAGAGATAAATTTGATAGGTGACCAAGTAGATAGTGGGGAATAAAGGAAATTTAAGAGTTAGAGAGAAGGTGATTCTAATAATAGTTTGAACAACCATATAAATTATGCTGCCGCTAAAAGAGATGAGGAGGGCAAGGATAATGCTTCAGTAGGTACATTTTAATACTGATCCCCGCCATCCCCTTCCCCTGTCCCCGCCCCGGCCCTTTAAACCTGTTTGGGCCATTTAGATAACAGACAGTGGAATAAAATTTGGAAATCAGGATGGAGCTCTGTGCTAAAATGTGAATTTAGAATATGTTAGGAGTATGGCTGGGTGTTTAACTAGTAGGACTAAACAAAACCACTCCAATAAGGTTATATAAAATTAAAAAAGAACAAGGTCTAGAGAGCACATTCAGGTAAGTGGAAGTCAGTGATTGGCTGAGAAGGGCTGGTCAGAGTGGCAGGAGAGATAAAATGGAGCATAGAAGCTAAAGGAGGGGTGATCTAAAGGAAGAGAATGGTTAGTGAATCAAGAAGGATGAAGTGTGAACAGAAGAGGCTGGTTTTGTAAGTTAGGTAGTGACTGATGATTTGCTATTTTAAGGATATGTATAAAGTTCTCATTTTAAATAATATGTTTAAAAGTTGTTGACTATATACATTCCTGAGTTATTAAATAAGAATCGAGTAACATAAAGGCCCAAGATAATTGCCTAGTTTTCTTGGCTTCATGAATCTCATTGATTCATCTGTCAGATCTTTATTTACTCTGTTATGACCTTATGATAATGTGGAAGAGACCAAAATTAATGGAACATAGTTTAAGGTGCAAAGGTATAGATAAGTATATTCTATATATGTTAGAGGAGAGAGAGATTGTTTATGTTTGAGGAACATCAAAGAAGACCTCTTGGAAGGGGTTAGATTTAATCTGGCTTTTCAAGAATATGTAGGATACTAGTCATTGGTCTAAATATAAATAACAATTTACAAAGTATTATATATAGTGGGAGAGACATCAATGTGCTAAGTAATAAATTCACCAGAAATTGTTTTGTATTCCGTTTATATAATTGCCACTTTTGAATTTTGCTTCCATCATACACTCTAGAGAAAAGCCTAATTTCTTCAATGTAGTTTTTCACTGGGATTTGGTGAAGAAAATGGCTTCTCATCTGAAGAGAAGACTGATTATGCTTTTTAAGAAATTTACAGAGTTGATAAAAACCTTACCACTTTTCGATCAGTCTTTCTCATGCTAGATTTTTTCCACATTTTGTCATCGGTTCTCCACTTTGTTCTTGACAATGGACAAGTGCATAATCATGAGATTTGATGGCAATTTGTCCAAGCTAGGAGAGTAAGCTATACAGTATCTTTTCATAAACAAAAACAATATCCCAATACTCTAGTCTGTTCATCTATCCCCTTCCAAATAGGGCCACCTCATCACATTAATGAGGATTCCTAATACCTAGAAAACGTGGTTGGAAATTCGTTCTCTCACTGAGAAATATAAGTACGTTTTTAGGCTATTAAATATAACTTAAATCAAGCCAGATGAGGAAAAATAGTAATTTAAGTTAACAAGTATTTTTTTTTTTACCATAAATAATTATGGATAGTTTAACTTTAAAATGGGAACTTTACTTTGTAATGAGACATGGAAGTAATCTTACAAGTTTATTTAAAAAAATTTATGTTCTTTCAACTGTTTTAAGGTTGTTCCATCTTTTGTACGGATGACAAGGTCAAGGACCAAAGACCAAATGGAGCTGACTAAGGTATAGTTGATAGTAGATAATTGTTTCTAAAATGACTAATTGTACTTTCTTTTCTCTGAGTAAGTTCATTTTTAATCTAATATCAGCTTCAAATATAGTGATTATTTTTACTAGAGTTAATAGTACCCAAATCACTGTTATTAGCATGATGACATAGAGCAGTTTTGGCTAAATGCTAAGGAACTGTTGTTTACTTAAAATAGTTTTTGCCCAGACATCCCTTAATGAGATCTATGCCAAACTCTGTCTTTAGTAACACATTTGTTTGTTTGTTTGTTTACCGGGCATCTATTATGCATTCCTTGTCACCATAAAATGCAGATAGGAATATAAAGAACACAGGTGGGTGTTATAAACGTATGGGTCTTCAAAACACCATTATGGGTAAAGTTATTTAGTTATTACTAAAGTGAAGTGGATAAGGGGTAAGTAGTATGCTTCTTTGTTAGGCGAAGTAGCTTAGTTTCATGTATTCAATAAATTTTGAGTCATTACCATGCTCCTCTAGGCTCTAGGATATAGTAGTGAACAAAACAAACAACATTCCTTGTTTTCATGTGAGATAGGCAATAAAATAAGTATGTAGTATGTCAGATGGTCATAAGTGTTATTGAGGAGATGAAAAAAAAGAGAAGGGAGTTGGGAAGTACTGCAGTGGATGTAGAGTAGAATTCTGATTGAGCCTCACTTAGATGGTGGCATTTTGAATGAAGTCTTTAAGGAAGTGGAAGAGTGTACTATGACAAAGAGCTTTCTATCCAGGAAAAGAAGTTTCCGGATAGAATTCAAAGGTCTCGAAGTAAAAACATGTTTAAAGACTCTCAGATGATTATAGTAAGCTCTTTTTCATAGCTTAGGTTATTAGCATTTTCTAAATTTTAGGTTTCTAAATAAGCTTTCAGGAAAATTTATATAATGGAAAACTTTTTTTCTTTTTCCCATTTTATTTGGGATAGTGGATTTTTTGCTGGATCATTTTACAATAGTCAGATTCTCTATGAGGGGTCAATTTACAGTTGAAAAATGTGTTTTGATTCATTATGCAATTAAATCACAAAGCACCTAATCTTTTAAATAGATCGATAACGGGAGCGATGTTCGAGTAACTCGATCTAGTCAAAGACAAACTTCTGAAAAGAAGATGTTGGACAAAGAGAAGAAAGGTAGGACTATTAACAATTATAAGCTCTGATATTGCCACAACAATAATAATAACAAAAAGCATTTGATTTGATTATTTTTTCCCACAGCTGTACAGCCTGTAATGCCCACGGTGGTGAGAATGACTCGATCAGCTACTCAAGCAGCAAAGCAAATTGCCAGAACAGTCTCTTCTACTACAACAAGAAAGCCAGTGACAAGAGCTACTAATGGTAAGAACTATTTCTTAATCAGTGACTGAACTAGAATGTTTTGGTCCTTGAGGTTTTTGTGTGTTCAGTTTTTCAAATCATCATGTACTTCTTTTGAGTAGGAGAGGAGGAAATGGGGGATTCTGGTTCTGTGGCCTGACATCCAGTTAGCATACAGTGGGTCCTCAAACACTGAAGTACCTGAATTGGTATAAGCAGTGCTTCAAAGTGAAAAATTAATAGGACAAATAAATTATAGTCCATCCATTTGGTGGAATACAGTGTAACCATTTAAAACAATATTATGATAAAACACATAGTTCACATTATGTTAAATGGGGAAAGAAAAACAGGTCAAAAGCTGAACAGGATGATCACAATTGCAAAGTGTGTATGTGAATATGTGAACATAGGAAAACTGGAAAAATGTACTCTGAAGTGTCAACAGTAATTATTGCTGAGTAATGTATGATTTTTTTTATTGTTTTTGTGCTTTCTTTTATTCTTCTAATAAACATGTATTTGATATTCAGAGGTAAAAGGTAAACTACTTCAATACCTTTATTTTGTTTTGAAAACAGGTGGCCTATACTTGGCAGGAAATTTCATCTTTTTTTATCCTGTTTTATAATATGACTTTTAAACATAAAATTCTTTAAGATACACATTCCTATGTCGCCTTTTTTTCCTTTCCCAAATTACCTAGTACTTTAAGCGCAGCATTTTCTATCTAATCAAAATGGATGACTTATTTTATTTTTATTTTTAGATAATGAAGTAGAAAGAAAAACAACAAATCAAGGAAGACCTGCCAAAAATATAGAAACTAAACTTGACAAGGTAGAATATAAATATCTGTTTAAATTTAGCTACTTTGAAAATCTCATTGCTACTTTCATAAAGTTGCAGAACTGCTTCAAGAGGTTAACCTACATGTGTGTTAAAACCTCTTGAACCATAAAGAAGCGTTGTTTTACTGTTGTTTTCAGGTGTCTTACCTCAGAGATTTATAGGCAGAGAAAACATAATTTGGTTAACAGGAGATAGAAAAATATAATCAAAACACAGCTGAAGGAAACCTTCATATGAGAATTAGCTTTAATGGAGTAGGATGGAATGCATTGACTGTGGATATAATTAAGCCTGAGTTTGAATAGTGTATCTGTTTCCAATTAGCTGTATAACCTTGGACAAGTTATGAGTTTGTTTTTCCATCTGTAACATGTAATACTTACATAGACTAGTATTGAGAATTAAATAACCTAACATTCTGATAACATCTAGCATAAGGCCTAGTAGAGTCTTCAAAAAAGAGCCACCATTTTGAAGACCCAATCCCTTGGTTTATAATCCATGCTACAATTTCATAATCTTCAAAAAAAAAAATGTTGAGGGTGGCTCCATAGTGTAGTGGTTAGCACGTCTGCCTTACATGCAGAAGGTCCTAAGTTCGCACCCCAGGTGGAGCCACAGACCATACCCCGGGTGCGCCAGGCCCCCCAGGTGCACCAGGCCCTCTGAGTGCACCAGGCGCGAGCATGTGGGAAGAGATGCCCTGCTTTCAGAGATCCAGTTCTAAAGGGGAGATAGCAACATCTGTAGGTCAATAGTGGAAGTAGTGGGGGGAGATTACAGAGGGGGAAAAAAAATGTCATGCCAAAGTGTAAGAAATCTGACTAGATCCTTACCAAAAATCAAACATAGACCCTCCATGAAGGCACTATAGGCTGACTCTTCACAGACAAGCAGCTGTACCTCATAGCTCCTCCCTTGAGATTGATTTTCTCTTTAAGGATCATCACTAGTTTTACTTTCAATCTCACGCTGACCTCAGGGACAGTGCTACCCTTAAACCTTGTCCAGGTTGAAATACTCTGGTTTCAGTTCATGTCTTGTTAAAAATCAGAAACATAAAGACCTCTAAAAATTATGCCTAAATAGGTGAGTGGGATGGGTCAAGGTGGTCAAAGGTACAAACTTGCAGTTATAAAATAAGTAGGCCCTGGGGATATCATGTACAGATGGCACGGTGACTAGGGTTAATTATACAGCATTGTATATTTGAAAGTAGCTAAGAGAGTAGATCTTAAAAGTTTTCATCACAAGCGAAAGTTTGTAACAGTGAGTGGTGATGGATGTTAACTAGACTTATAGCAGTGATTATTTTGCAATATACACAAATATCGAATCATGTCATACACCTGAAACTAAATAATGTTGTATGTCAATTTATCTCAGTAAAAAGTAACGATTAAATTGACTAAAAAAGGTAAAATATGCTTCACATTTTATAAGATTAATCTTATTGTGTCACATCGAAAAATATTTTTGTTCATATGATAAAGGATTTGGTCCTTGACAATATAGTCATCCAGTAAACATTGGATTTCTGATTCTCAAACCATTGTAATTACCAACATAATTTAAATAAAAAGATATGTTCGTTAGGTGAGTAAATTATTCCACCTTAATTTTCATATGTTTTAATTTGTTGTAATACCTAAAACCTATTATTTAGTTCTTTTATTAAGGGCTGATTCTCTCCCTTTCTGGATCATAGCAATGGTTAAGTGTAGCTGGTCTTCTGATTCCATGTATACATTTAATTGTATTTGTTTTTGTCTATAAAATTAGGTAAATGAACATATATCTCAACTTTTACATTTTCAAGCCTGTCAAAATTGGTCAAATATATCCCCAGGAGAGAAATTCTCACTCTATTTTGTTTACTCACATCTAGGTCATTTCTTTTCAAGTCGATAGTGAAGAAAATAATTTGGATTCACAAACCAGTGCAACAAATGGAGTGGATCCAGATGGAGTCTTATCAAAAATGGATAACTTACCTAAGACAAATACTGCAAAAAAGAAAGGAAAGAATTCCTTTGCACCCAAAGATTTTATGTTTCAGCCACTAGATGGTCTGAAGACCTATCAAGTTACACCTATGACTCCCAGAAGTGCCAATGCTTTCTTGACACCCAGTTACGCCTGGACCCCTTTAAAAACAGAAATGTAAGAATAATAATAATAATGAATTTCTTGCTAAGATGGATAACAAATGCCTTTCTTAGATTTGCCTATACTTTCTTAAAGTTATTATTTAGTAAGTAAATGATGTGATTTATAAATCATGAAAGTTTGGTCTTCTAAAAAAATTTTTCAGAAGGCTACAGTAATGTATTTGACAGTTTTTATTTGTTTGTTTGTTTTTAGAGTCAAAAGGAAAGTTTATGAGAAAAGGCATAACACTCTACAAGTGAAGTGGTTTCCTCTCAGAGGCAGAGAGTGAAAGGGATAGTGAGAGACAGTGACAGTGGAGACCAAGACAGTGAGAAAGACAGAAAAGGCACAGAGAGGGACCATATTTGACAGTTTTGATAATTTCCTGTATGTTGTTACTATTTTCATGGTGCAATTTGCATTTTTTTTTTTTTTTGCTTTAATATGTGACTTTATTATAATACTTAGAAATACATTTTTTAGAAAGGAACAATTGCTATGATACTATAGTTCAGACATGGTTTGGGTTTTTGTTTGTGTTTTTTTGCTGAGTATTACTTCAGAAAAACTAAAGACAAAAATGATTAACTTGCAAAGTGGGGGAAAAATCAGTTGGAATCTTTTAAAAGGAAGGACAAGGTTGTTTTGCAAAGACCAGCTGGCAGCAGATTTACTAGAAACTACTGAGCAGCATCCAGGACTAGTAAGTGCTTATGTTCCACTAAGAGATCTTCAAAATCTTTGGATCTCATTACAGTTAGTAAAGATGGACATTCCCACTTATAGGTGTTTAAAATTTTTCCATATAGAATAGACACATTTCAAAAAGATAGAAACATTTCAATTTTATCCCATGTTTTTAAAAAGCAACATAATTTTGTATTTTTGCTGTTATCTTTAGTGATAAGACTCAAGAAGCACCAAAAGAAATTTTGGCACAAAAATTTAAAACTTACTCTGCCAAGACAGTCCATCAAGATTCAAATAAATTGCGATGTCCTCTGGATTCTCTAACAGTTTGGAATAAAGGTATGGTATTTCGATTAAATTTTTTCTTGCTTTTCTAGGTTACGATCTATTAGAGGTTTGTTTTAGAGCCCTCTTCACCATCTTGTTTAGGGATATGATCTCTAAACAAGGGTCAGAAGAGATGGGAAAGCCTGGGGGAAGTTGGGGGAGGGAGGGAGGAAAGGAAGAAGAGAGAGGGAGAGGAGAGAAGAGAGAGAGTTGGAATGAGGAATACAGACTGCGAAGAGGGGGAATAAACTTAAATTCAAAGAGACACTTTAGAGGAGATGTGTCGAATGGAACTGATTCAAAAATAAAATTTTTAAATTCAACGTTGAAGAAAATCGAAGGATTTAAAACAACTTGTCTTGTGGGGGATGTCACTTTAAGAGGTGCTGCTTTGAAATTTATATATTAATATTTTCTTTAATCTGTAGACAATGTCTTAAATAAAAATGAAACTACTAAAAATTCAAATGGCCTTCCAATAAAAGAAGTCCCATCACTTGAAATACATGAAGACCAGGTACCTCAGCCACAGCATGATGTGCCATATTTCAGGTTGGTCCATTTGTCCCTGGTGTGAGAATTTTGTATTAATGTCTAGACATTTAAAACTAAAATTAAACTATTTTAACTTAATATAATAGATGCATTTCAGGGAAACTGACTTTGAGTGATTTTCATTTATCTTTTAAATATTAATTTTCAAGGTTAGTACATTCACGTGGTTCCTAATTCAAAGGTAAAAAAGGTATAAGAAATCTTTCTCAACTCTGTCTCACAACAGAGTTCGAAGCTTCCACAGAGGCAAGTGTTACCCATTTCTCAATACGTCCAGAGATTGATAATACATATGTAGACAAATGTAAATATTTTTTCTTTTTTTATGTAAACAATAACATACTATTCTGTTTTCAATTTCTCTTAAATGTAGGAGATACTCCATCTTGAAGTACTTGAAGAGCTTTCTCATGTTATTGTTTTGTGTGTGTATTTTAATAGCTATATAGTATCCAATTATATGGATATACCTCAATTGACTTAATAGATCACTGTTGCTGGTTATTTACATTGGGTTCACTTTATTACTATCACTCAAACTTGGATGCTTTTGAGTTCTCTCAGGTGCAAATCTATAAAGACCTCAGTTTACATTCCCTCTAGCAAGGTATGGGAGTTCCTATTTTCTCATACCTGTATTAACCCCACAAAGAAACTAAGTTAATATTTATTATACAAAAGAAGGATATAGTGTGAGATGGTAGGGGGCTCTTTAGCCCCCTAAATCATGAGCTAGGATTATATTTCTCCCAACTGTGAAGAGTGAAGATTAATATCCTATTTGGGGAACCCTAACCATTTCACTTGAATGCCTTGGAAACAAAAGAGGGCTGCAATTAAAGAAAGGCACCAACAATCCACATCACACAGGAGATGATTACATACCATTATTCTCAAGTGGATATAACTGGAAAATTCTCATACCTTTTCCAATGCAATGTTGACAATTTTTTGAGCTTTGCCAATTAAATAAATGAGATATATTATCTTGCTACAGTTTTAATATTCATTTGCTCTATTCTGAATATCGTTTTATATATTTAAAAGCTATTTCAACTTGTTTTTAGGACATGAGGTTTTAGAATTGTAAGGGATTTTAGAGATTAGCTAGTCCATTGTGCTGTTCAACTGAGACATTGAGAAAAAAAGCAATTTATTCAAATAACATCAGATCCAAGCCAGGTCTCACTTCTTCTTAATTAAGTTGTTCTCTGTTATGCCACTAGATACAAACAGCTAAATTTTTTTTATAAGGAAAAAACTAGCCTCAGTTTCTCCTGCTAGGATGCTTTGAATAAAGAAACATTAAATTTACCTTAGGCCTGGTTTCTCAACTTTTACACTACTGACATTTTAGACAGGGTAACTCTTATTTCTGGAAGCTGTCCTGTGTGTTGTTGGATGTTTCGTAACATCCCTGGCCAGTAGCACTCCTATAGTTTGCGATAATCAAAAATGCCTCCAGATATTGCCAAATGTCTCCCTGGGGGCAGAACTGACTTCATCTGAGAACCACTGCCTTTGGATAGGCAAAGACTAATGTTTAGAGAGAATCCGTAAGATCCTATTACTGTAATTCGAGACTGAACAGTTTTTAGCTTCAACTTAATCTTGGCAGCGGATTGGTCTTCGTTCCGTGGACAGTAATAGAGAACTAATAACAGAACTAAAGAATGTCTAATTCTTTCTGTTCACCCTCTGAAAAATAGTACTAAAAACAACTAGAAATATTAGCTTGAAAACTGGGCTCTTGGCATTAACAATCGACATAAATTTTAGGAGTTGAAGAATGGACATGTATCAGCCTGTATTTATGAGTTTTAGTATATCACAGTTCATAAAATAATTAAGTATCAACTCTGGGAAATTAATATTCTGTAAGTATCATAATGTTAATACTCATATATTAGTGTGAGAAATGTTTGTAAAACTAAAATGTATTTCATAATTTTAGAAATATTCTCCAGTCGGAAACTGAGAAATTAAGTTCATACTGCCTTGAGTGGGACAGGAAGCTTGAATTGGACATTCCAGATGATGGTGAGAGAACATTTTTTTTTATGTCTTTGTTTATTTTAATATGGTTACATTTATTTGAAACATCAAAATCTAGTGTTATCCAACTTTATACTTCCATTTTTATTCAAAATAGCAACAAATTTTCATATCTAAACGTATATTTGCTAACATCTCTGTGCTAAAATGATAAATAATTTAAAAGTTGTAATAACTAGAATATTGACTATCATTCCTGAGAGTTAGACATTTGTCTATTATTAAATTTTCTTGATATGACTTTATGAGTGACATCCCTATCTGGTATTGTTTAATTATACAAAATTTCTGAAAGAAAATTACGTAAATCAACATGAACAGATTTTCTGAAAAGTTTCTTAACCTACTTATTTAGGATACTGTTTTAGAAAGAATCATTTGTGTACGGTCAGAGTGAAGCCCTTCTTAAATACTGATGTGCGATGAGTTTTTTGAGATTGAATTCTTATAAAATACAAGGAGAGGTAGAATGCTGTTTGCTATGTAGTAATGTGTATGAAAATGAATATTGATAATTTTTAGCAGTAATTGAAGTAGATAGTTAATGCTCAGTATTTGTATGACACTATTTTGTAGCAGATATTTTTGGTTTTGCTTTAAGGTAAGAATTCAATTCTGTAAGCCCTAGGATATTTGGAGTGAGGTCTTTTTATCAGCTGATTGGCTTGCAATAAAGGTCCTGTTTTGCCATTTAACTTTTAAAAACCTCTTATTTCCTTCAGTTAAAGATCTTATTCGCACAGCAGTTGGCCAAACAAGACTCCTCATGAAAGAAAGGTTCAAACAGTTTGAAGGACTGGTGGATGATTGTGAATATAAACGAGGTAAAAAGGAGACTACCTGTACAGATCTGGATGGATTTTGGGATATGGTTAGTTTTCAGGTATGTGGTCAAGTATATTGAATACATTAACTTTTGAGTCTGTTTTTTTTTTTTTTTTTAAATTTGATATTGGACATTAAATGGGATATCAGATAGTACTATAAAGTACAGTCTAAATTTTACGACTAATGTCTCCATATCACCCATATTGTTAGAATAATTTCTATGTAGGTTGGAAATGGAAATTGTACTCAACTTTTCAAGAGTCTATAATGATTCTACTTGTGAGAAAATGAGTAAATCTAATCATAATAGTTTAGTTTACCTAACAGTTATTGAGTTCCTACTATGTGCCAGGCATTGTAGTAGTTGTTAATAAGGCACCTTTTTTTGTCCCAGAGGAGTTTTATAGTTTCATTAGTGAGTCAGACACAATATGTAATTCCAATCTAATGTAAAAAATGCTATACTAGAGGGAATTACTAGGAAGATCAGTAAAGGTGTGGGAGGAGATGACACTTTCTTGCTTTTTGAACTCATTTTAGAAATAGGCATATGAAATACTCTTTCAAGAACTGGTAGCCAGCAATCACTATACATTTGTGGAAATCTTCAAACTTGAAACAAAGAGGCCAAAGCAAATAGAAAGAAAGAGACCAGACATTTTATCTGCCAAACAAGAAAAAAGAATATTCAGAGAATAACAAAAATAGCTCTTCAAATTTAAAAATTATGAGAGCAGAAGCATAAAATTCATTATGAAGTTGAGCTCTCTCATAAAATAGAGCAAAAAGAGATTTTAAAAAGTTGGAGAGAATAAATAAGAAAATTAAGTGGACCAGTCTAGGAAGTATAATATCCAAATAATAGGAATTCCAGAAAAAGATAACAAAAAATAGAGAAGAAATGATCGATGAAATAGTTTAAAATTTTTCCCAGAACTGGAGGACCTGAATTTCAGACTGAAGGAGCCTGTTAAGTTCCTAACTTGTGAGTTAGAATAGACATGCACCAATACACGTCATTAAAAGCAATTGTACGCTCCTGGGATAGAGAAAAATCTAGAGGCTTCCAGAGAAAGAAAACAAGTTCCATACAAAGAATCCATACAAGAATCAGAATAGCTTTGGGCTTCTCAACAGCAGCATTGAAAACTGGTAGGACAATGACTTCTGAGGGAAAATAACTTCCAACCTGGAGTTTATACACAACCAATCAAGTATAAGGGTGGAAAGGTATTTTTAAGACACGTATAGTCTCAGGTTTTACCTCCTAATCTTCCTGAGAAAACTAAGTGAGAATGTACCTCAAAAAATGAGGAAGTAAGCCAAGGAAGGGGAAAGAAGTGGGGCTGATTCTGAGAAGGGGCCAAGGAAGTCGTGGCTGAGGTGAGTCAAGAAAGTTTGCTGCAAGCTTCAGAAACAATAGTTCGGATTGGAGCAGGAAGACGAGGGCTTTGTAAGAACTATTTCTGTGAAGCTGAACTGAATAGAATTCCTGATAGCTTTGTTTTTGTAATTGTATTAAGAGATTTAATTTTATTTGCAGAGTTTAGAGGTGAATTGATAGTAGATACATAAAAAAAGCTAAACGAAAAGCAAAACAATTTTTAAGTCTAGAGAAAAAAGTGAAGACACAACAATCCCAGTAACTATATGGCCCAGGTGTGAATAAGAGTTAATATAGCCATAATAATGTAAGTGTAACTTTATGACCAGTTTTAATATATTTACCAGTTCTTATAATAATGAGTTGGTTCATCAGCATTCTTTAATAATGACCAATTTAATATTTTTTAGTATCATTATTAATTTATGAATTTAAAGGTATTTGATATGTTTACATTGTTTACGCTTATTTTTATTGATGCTTATTTCCCAGCTTTGGCTAGTGGGAGCCTCTCCAAGTTGGCTCCTGAGGCCTTTATTTATTTTTTTAAAGAGCTGTATTAAGATATAATCTACATATCACAAAATTTGTTCATTCTAAATGATTCAATGATTTTTAGTAAAATTTACCAGATTGTTCAACCATCAGAACATTTTAATTACCACAAAAAGATCCACCTGCCTGCTTGTAGTCAATGCTTTTGCTACTCCCATTCCCGGAGATACTATCGCTGAAGATTTGCCTTTTCTGGACATTTCGTATAAAATAAAACCATACAATATGTGGTCTTTTGTATCTAGCTTCTTTCACTTAGCATATTTTTGAGCTTTCTCCATGTTGTAGCTTGTTTCTGTACTTTGTTTCTTTTCATTGCTAAGTAGTAGTCCGTTTTATGGATATATCACTTTATTCATCAGCTGATGGATACTTAGGTTGTTTCTACTATTTGGTCGTTATGAAAAATCTTTTAATATTCACATATAAATCATAGTGTGGACATATGTTTTCATTTCTTTTGGGTAGATACCTAGATATTCCTGGATCATATGGTAAATTTATGTTTTAACTTTTTAAGAAACTGCCAAACTGTTTTCCAAAGTAACCATTTTACATTCCCACCAACAATGTATGAGTGTTGCTATTTCTCCACATCCTCACCAGTACCTGTTATTGTCTGTCTTTTTTAGAATAGCCATCATATTGGGTATGAAGTATCTCAGTGTAGCCTTGACTTGCATTTCCCTAATAAGTAATGATGTTAAGCATCTTTTCATATTCTTATTAGCCATTCACATGTCTTCTTTGCTGAAATGCCAGTTCAAATCTTTGACCTATTTTTTAATTGGGGTTGTCTTTTTATTATTGAGTTGTAAGTGTTCTTTATATATTCTGGATACCAGTTCCTTATCAGAAATTTAATTTGCAAATATGTTCTCTCGGTTCGTGGCTTGTCTTTTAATTTTCTTAATGGTATCTTTTGAAATGCAAACATTTTTAACTTTGAAGTTCAATTTATCAATTTTTTTTCCTTTTAGTGTGATTTTGGCATGATAGCTAAAAACTCTTTTGGCCTAACCACAGGTCATGAAGATTTTCTCTTCTGTTTTCTTCTAAAAGTGTTTTAGGTTTAGCTCTTACAGTTAGGTTTATGATCCATGTAGAGTTCATTTTT